TAACTTGATCTCTTTAAAACTCTAATTTCTAGGCAATCGATCAAAGATTGGCGGAACTGTTACAAGGAATTGTTTCACTTTGCGCCGGTATAATTGTAGCATTTTCATTTAGTTGGAAAATGGCATCTATTGGTGTTATTATTTGTGCAACTTTTGTCATTTTGCAAACTTCTCTTTCGCATTTTCTCAAAATTCAAGGCCAAAAGGATGCTAAAATAGCTGAAAGAGCTACTAGTGTTAGTCTTCTTTCTACTATAATTTTCGTAAGAGTTCCGGAATCTGAAAGATATTTTCAATAATTCCGGATTTCACACAGTTTTTTTTTTTTTTTTTTATGTAACGATTTGAATATTCCTTGAACAATTCATAAATTCTATAATTTCGCATTGTTTCAATTTAATTCTTTTTATCATCTAAAATTTTTTTCAGTTAGCTTCCGAATCAATCGAAAATATCCGAACTGTGCAGTATTTAACTATGCAACCGAAAATATATGAATCGTATTGCTTTTCATTACAGGAACCTCATAAACGAGCAGTTATTCGAGGTTTCGATTTACACTTTTTTTTTCATGCATGCATGTATGCATGCATGCACGATATAAGGTAGAAAAATGCATACTGCATGTTACAATATTTATCTAACTGCATGCTATATCCTATTGGTTTGCAGCTTCACTACTTTCATTTTTAATTTGGGGTATTGTCGTTTTTTTTATTTATAAATTTAACTGAAATCCAAAAAAAAATTTTTTTATTTAAATCTAATAAATTTAATTCAAATATTTTTTATTTTTAACTAGAATCACATGTCATTATTTTATTCATTTATAAATTAAATTTAAATCCAAAAAAAAAATTTTTTTAAAATTATTACCAAATACAAATCATATAATTCAAACATTCTCCAACAAGAATCTTTTTAATAGTTAACATTTGAACCTTGGAAAATGAGTGGGAAAGTGCTCGTTAAGTTGAAATTATTTTTGAATATTTATATAATTCTAGAATTTTAGGCAAATTTTTATGAAAGATTTGAAATTATCTAATTAAGTTCCAAGTTTTCTTCCTAAATGTTACTTTTAAATTATACTTATACTCTAGGTTTTTGGCAAGCATTGAGTTACGCACTGTCCAATAGTTTTGTTCAGTCCAACTTTGCCATTTCCTATCTTTTTGGTCTTTGGTTAGTACGGAATTCATGGTCTGAACCATACATTGTTTTTCAGTAAGTTTTAGCAAACATTTTAATCTATCTAATTAATCATTTTTCAACTTAATTAATTTAATTTGTATATTTATTATTTACTTTTCCTAAAAATTCCATTAAATCAAAGTTACTGATTATATTTATGAAAAAATTTTTAATTTTCATTTTTGTATAGGGTAATTGAAGCATTAAATATGGCATCACTTACTGCACTTGCGGCAGCATCATTTTTATCGGAATACGTTCGAGCTCGCATTTCAGCAAATCTAACATTCCATATCAAAAATCAAATTCCACTTATAGATAATTTATCTGAAGCTGGTAGTTTATCTGAACAGGTGCCAGAAATTTTATCTTTTATTCATCTTCCAATTAGAATAAAACAAAAGTTTCAAATTTGATAAAAAACGATTGCATTTAACTGAAGGAAACAGTTATAGTAGTTTAATTAATCTTTAAGCAGAAGAATTGTAATCATTACTTTATTGACATTTAACAATTAATTTTGCAAATAAATGATGAATATACTAAAATGCATGACTTTTTATTTCAAATTATTAAGAAATGAGAATTGAAAACTTTATGAGCTAAAAGTTTTTTTCTTTCAAACATCGGAAATTCTATTTTGCAAATTAATATTCATATAAAATAGCTTACTTTTCTTAGATTTCAAAAATAGTTAATTATTTGTTCGGGAAAATTTTTTTCGCAAAATTTTTTCTTTTTAGACAATTAAAGGAAACATTTACCTGAAGGATGTTTGTTTCGTATATCCAATGTTTCGTCAAAATTCTATTCTCAGAAAATTTTCCATGTCTGCAACGTATGGTCAAACGGTAGCACTAATAGGACCAAGTGGTTGTGGCAAAAGTACGGTGATTAAATTGCTGGAACGATTTTATGATGTTACTGATGGTGTTTTGGTGAATTTTTTTTTTTTTTATTGGAAAATGAAAATTAAATCTTTAAAATTTTCTTTAGTTTGTCTGTGTGACAACTCAAAATATTGCATAGATCTTCTGAAAATGCACTAAATGTTATTAATTGTCAAGACTGAATCTTTTACTGATTTTTAAGCAACATTATTATGTAATCAATTACTTGAAATTAGCTAAGAAACAAATCTAATTGGAAAGACAGAAAATGCTCCAAAAAAATTTGATTTCCAAGATTATATACAATTTCAAGTAAATTAAATTAAAGTTTATCGATGATCACGATATCAAAAGTTATAATATTCGATATCTTCGATCACATATTGCATTGGTAGACCAAGAACCAGCATTATTTAATGTAAGTATTCGAGACAATATTGCATATGGCTTGGATGATGCATCACAGGAACAAATTGAAGCAGCTGCGAAATTAGTCAATATTCACAGTTTTGTTGTCACTTTACCGCAGGTTTGTTTTCTTTAGGCGCAAAAGTTACATATTGAAATAAAGTTAAGGCTTTCTGATATTTAAGTAATATATCTTTGGAAAGTAGAACCAAAAGCTTGATCGAAGTCCAATTTAGAGTTTTCTAATTCGAATCAACTATTCTCTCTATCTAAAATTACTGAAAATCTTTATCGCTATGGAGCAAAAAATTAGAGATGCGATTTTTTTTTTCGATGTTGTAACTAAAATGATTGAAACTCAGGGTTACGATACAATTGTTGGATCAAAAGGAAGTCATTTGTCAGGTGGTCAAAAACAACGGATTGCAATTGCAAGAGCAATTATAAGAAATCCAAAAATACTTCTTCTTGATGAAGCTACTAGCGCTTTGGATAGTGAAAATGAAAAAGTATAGCACTTGTAATGTAAAACATATCGTAAAAGTCTAATGAGAAGAATGTCCATTTAATTTAATTCTTGATCGATTTAAAAAAAAATACCTTTATGAAGTTTTTTTTAATGAATTCAAATTTAGATGGTACAAGAAGCACTGGAGACAGCACGTCGTGGTCGAACCTGCATTGTGATCGCTCATCGTTTGAAAACAATTCAAAATGCTGATTTAATAATTGTTTTAAAAGATGGTCAAGTTGTAGAATGTGGTAATCACATTCAGCTATTAGCTCAAAAAGGCTTGTACTGTTATCTGATTGAAAAACAAAAAGTACTGTAAGAATGTACTCGAACATTCCTAATAAGCACTCTCTAAATATTTGACACTAATTAATGCTGTTAACTTTAATCTTTTGATTATATTTAACTTTATGAAATAATCAATTTACTATGTTACAAAAAAGCAACTTCTATCTTTAGAAAACCTGAAAAAGACAACTTATATCTCTAGTTAATCAGTCAATAATATGTATTTCAATCATTCACTTCAGTTATTTTTAAATGTTAAATTCAAATTGAATAATGTCAACTAACTCTATTCATTCTATCTGTGTACTTTGTGAAAAAATAGGAAATAAACTTTCTACCTGTCCTTGGCTAGCAACAATTCATCAATTTATCTAAAATTGTTTTTTTTTTTTGAATTGAGCAGTTTTTGAATTTCTTTTAGGGATTCTTTGCTAACATGAATAAGCTTTTTTTTTGACATTATTATTATCATCCAGCAATCCCTTCATCAACCTTCTTGATTTATCATAAATTTCTTCAATACTTTCCCAATCTAAATGGAATTCGATTGATAGCAGAATTCATTGATAATTTGAAGCTAAAATTTATATTCTTTCAATTCATTTCGTCCAATTTATTTTGAATCAAATTTCTATATACAAAATGTTGCATTACTAGGATTTGTTATGTTTCTTGTTACACTGTTAGCTTCATTAATTTTGATTTCTATATTTTTAAAGTTTGTTTTAATGTACTCAGTTAACAAACTTAAGTATAGACTATATAGTTTAAATATAGATTATATGTAATTTCAGATTTCGAAATGTTCCATTTTTTATTTTTTTATCTTTTTTTCTAATTTCATATTATATTCATTTGCTCTTTACAAATTGCTTAAGCTAATCATTTTAATCTGGAAATTCTAAGGAAAGAGAATTTCCCAACTTACGTAAAATATTGATTAACTTTTTGCGTTTGAAGACTGAAAGAAAATAAATCCAAGCGTTGAATTTGATAAATTTGAAGTAAATTTCAGGAAATGGTTGTATAGAACGTTGTTTACTTAAATGACTTTTAACTAAATTCCCATCCAAATATCATTTTAGCTTCTTTGCCACTTTCAATATAGCAATGAGTTTGCATACTTTCACTGTATAAAAGAGAAGTAGTAAAAAAGTAGAAACAAAACATATAATATAATTTGATGATAAAAAGTACAAAGCGAATAATGCTGAAAAAAAAAAATGTGTTCGCAAAAGAATATGAGAAGATTACTGGATATTAAAGTGGTGATAGCATAAGACAGTTCAAGAAGTAGGAAAAAATCAAATTCTGAAATTTCTATTAGAGTCTTCCTGAAATCAGATTAAAATTATGTATAGCTCAGGAAAGCATAGTAGTGCAGAGTAAGTGATATGTTAACTGTTAACCTATCAAGAAATTACAAATTCCTCCTCTTTCTAGCAAATTGTGATTCATATCTTCGTGCAGAACCTAAAGTGAAAGAGTAATTTTCAATCATAGATTATCACCAATATCTCTGTTCAAAAATTCAACGTAAGGTATGAGTTATTTGCATTCTGGTTGCCGCGTTATAAAATAGTTAGAGATTATCCGTGTTATCCGGAGGTAGTGGGGTATCAGGTGGGGAAGTAGTTGACCGTTTGTGGAAGTTGGGAGAGTGTGACAGTTTGGTGTCATCATTTATTGTCATATTTGAAGGAATTATGAAACGTCGAAGGGATAATGGAAGTATGGTTGCGGGACGAAATGCTTTGATGCGTGCCGTGAAGACTTTGCTGGCTGCCTTTTGCTTTTATGCTTTGGGTCTTTTCAATTGTATCACTTATACCATTCGAAGACAGTACCGCAATGTATGTTCTGCGTTTTGATTTTTGATTTATAAGAAACGAATATCGATTAAACTATACTTGAAATGGGGCAAAGTGACATTTATTCCTCGCTTAAGCAGCATAGTACAAAGAGCTTTCCCAGTATATTTTAAAAGCAGAAGTTGTTGGTTCTAGCTACAATTTAAAATTTTCTTTTCAGCAAATACTGCTCGTTCTTTTGAAATGCGCCAAATAAAGTTCATTAAATTAGTTTAGTCGGTCAAACTGTCTAGCTAGTAGGTTTTCAACCTTGTTTCATCAAATATTGAGACTATTATAGCAATAGTTTCTCATACATCGGTATAGCACAGGTGGATTTGATGCAATATCAAGTTTTTCAAAGTTATTCCATAGGTCATACAAAGTAGTTATTTGTTAATGATGATGAAATTTAGTTTTGAAGAAGGTATTTCAATTACTGAATGTGTAATATGCGCGTAAATGATTGCTTTGAAATTCCGCTCAGAAATTATAGTTGCATTTCAGATAAGAAAACGTCAAGTTATTCGTTATGAATACGTTCCTCTCTCACCTTTATCGGCACATCGATTGAGTAAGTTCTAATTTGTACTTTTATTCTGTTCGTTGCTCTTTTTGATGTTACAAGTATGGAACTATTTTATCACTGTTACCTGTTGCTGCCTTTTATGTGGGATTGGTGCATTGGAAGTGAAATTTAATAGTTAAAGAGGTTTTGTGATTCATTTTTCTACAATCTGCCAAAAATTTCCAGGCGTGGTGAAACGGAAAATTTTGGTGCTTGATTTAGATGAAACACTGATACACTCACATCATGACGGTATTATACGTCCTATGGTTAAACCCGGTACACCACCCGATTTTGTGTTACGAGTAAAACTTATCTTATTCACTCATGGTTTGAGTAACAGTTTTTTAATTTATTACAAATATCTTAGTTAAATAGTTTCTGTTGTTGAAAAAGAGCAGTCAGAAATTTTAGCAATATATGTTGTACAAAGAACTGAGATGCTTCTAAGTCATCCATTCCGTTCCCTGACTGTTATGATTATCTATTTTCATTTCATTATCTTCTTTCATCTGAATGATTTTATTTTATTTTTTTTTCTGGATACAAATTGTTTTGCTTTAGCAATTTGTACCAACTCGGTTTCGCCATGAAAAATTCAGCACAGCTCCAGTATAACTCTTGTTACATTAACTCTCTCCATATTTTCCATTAGGAATTGGAAGATTGGGAGATTCCGATGGAATTAAGTTAGGTTACATCATTAACTTTTGTAATTTGCGTCGAATCATAAGCAGTAATTACAGGTGAATATTGACCGACATCCAGTCCGATTTTTTGTACACTGTAGACCTCATGTTGATTATTTTCTTTCGATGGTTAGCCAGTGGTTTGATTTAGTTATTTTTACTGCGTCCATGGAAATTTATGGGAGTTCGGTGGCCGACAAACTTGATAATGGTAAAGGCATCTTGCAAAGGCGTTACTTCAGGTATGCGTAATTCCGGGCCATTTTTATTTAGTTATTACTTCTCGCTGCTGAATCTACTTTAAGTTTTTGAAACAGTATATTTATGTCCTTAATATATGTTTGTTTTTACCAATAAATTATAATAACATAATCAGACTTTATATTTTCAGTTTAAAATTTCATTCACTTTCAGTTTATTGTCTCTTTCTGATATTTTAGGCAACACTGTACAATGGATTATGGTGGATATACAAAAGATCTTTCTGCTGTACATGCCGATCTTTCATCAATATTTATATTAGATAATTCTCCCAGTGCATATAGGAAGTTTCCTCGTAAGTTTTCAGATTTCAGTATTTCTTAATAATGTATATTTGTATGGACAATAGAATGTCATTTCTTAAGTTTCATGATTTACAACTTTTTCCTTATATTTAATTCTGTTAGAGTACTAATTTTTTATTTGAAAAACTTCTTAAGCAGCAAATATAATGGTTGCTGAGTTGTTATTCTGTTGCCCCATGCATATTCAGACATCATTCGGTAACTAGGCCTCCTTCTATTATTTATAATTTGATAAGTGCTTTACAGTTATATTTATGAAGCGGAGGCTTCCAAGCGTAAAATTTAGAACAAAAAAAAAAAAAAAAAAAAACGGACAGGAATTAATTCACGAAAAACTGAAAGGGAAATCAGTGGCAAAACAAAAAAATAAAAACTATACTGAAAAAAGTTAAATTTTCTATACAAACTCGTCTAGGTTTTTAAATATTTCAGAAAATGCAATACCAATACGATCTTGGTTTTCGGATCCTACAGATACATGTTTGTTAGCATTATTACCTTTTTTGGATGCACTTCGATTTGCATCTGATGTACGTTCAATTTTAAGTCGAAATCAACAGCTTCAACAAGTTTGGTAGCCATTCTGAGAGAAGAATCATGCAGATTTGTATGCCATTTGCCGTACCAACATCTGATATCAATTTTAGTCCATAATTTTGTGCTATGTCGCACCATTATAGCATAGTTCGTACAAGTATTTGTAGTTAACTTTAATATGCAGTACAGCATATCATTCTATTTATGGTAGAAATTTTATTTCTTTCTAGTTTCCAGCTGCTCATATATTTAGTGAATAAGCGGTTGCAGTTGTTTTCATTGTTATTCATTTAACCTCTTCATATTGTTTATTTATGGGTATCTCATCAGGAATGGCATTATTATGTATGCCTTTGTAAAAATTTGAAGGAGGGTCTTTTTTTGTTTCAGAATTGAATTGATGGTTAGTTACTGCTAGAATCGTGTATTAATGAAGTAGGTTTGTGAGAGATTAACATTTTTAGTTACACCAGTGCAGTGAAGTGCCATAGTGTGGAAATGCATTTGAATTGCAACAGTTATTTCAAATTATAGTTTCATAGTTCGTAAGTATCTGTGATAGATAGAAGGAAAATAAACTTGAAATCAGAAATATTTCAAAATTTTATGGCACTATCTTTGCAAGTTGTGAATCTTGTATAAAAATTATCATCGTGATTTGTAATTAACCACAGATGGCATTTGGATCACATTGTATATTGCTCTTTCTGACATGTTTTATTCGCTTACTACGAGTAAGTTCGTTGTTCCATGTAAGTTTTGATCTCATCAGACTTGTTCCATTTCATGGACAATCTTGGTTTAACTATCTTTTTCATTTTTCATTGAAACAACGTTTTGTTTGTGGTTGTATGGGAGATGGAAGGTAATAATCAGACGTTTATGCAGTATCATCTTAAGATTTAAAAAAATTAATGGTGTTTGATAACGATATTGTATTTGTTTGTAAATATGCATCTGTAAACTTTCTTGATTTTTGGAAAGGAAATCTGAAATACTGGAATACTGGAAAAAAAAAACACGAGAAAATGAAATCTAATACAATGTCGATTTTTCCACAAAAATGCGTCTTAAATATTTGGGGAAATATTGTTTTTTTTTTTTTTTTTTTTTTTTTAATAATTTCAATGTTTTAAAGAGGGTGTTTCCCTTGATTTACAGATACAGCGGTTTTTTTTTTTATTGAAGCATAATAAGCGACTTAAAATTTTATTGACTAAAGTCAATAATTATGCATTGGCAAGTAGGATAAACAACAATTATCAGGGAATAAAATCAATTATGAGAAAGTTTCAAATTTCTTCAACAATTACAGAGCTTACACTTTGTTAGCAGAAATGAATGTAGAACAAGAGCACATGAATACATGAGAGAGGAGATTTTAAAAGTAGATCTTAATGTGCCTACAATGTTGATCAGTCATAGTATCTGGTATTTATATGATTATTTGAGGTTATTTTCGACAATATAAAATTGTAGCAAACCTGTCATATTTTTTAAAAAAAAATTTATGTATATGAATTTTTAGACCTATGTGAATAGTATATACGATTAATTCATATACGACTGCATATGGCGATTACATTCATATTGGCTAACATAAAATATAATTTTTAGTAAAGAATAAATGGTATACGAAGGTATGATAGAATAAGTATTTTTGATAGAATATTTCTTATCAAAATTTTTAGGCAACGATGAATTAGTATTAGCCCTCAATTTAATAGATTTTTTGAGGAAAAAAAGAACTTTTCACTTTTAATTTTAATTTGGAATCTCAATGAGTTGTGGTTAAGGATTCAAAAAAAATTAGAGGTATTGTGATGGTTTGATGATTAAATACAAAGATCTTCATAATATGTAATGCATGACAAAGTATTGTTAGTAAAATAACTTACTGAGCATTTTGTATAGAGTAATATCATAGACAAAAAGATATCCATCTGATAAGATCATTTCATATCTATTTGTAAATTTGAAATTCTCAATGCAAGATGTAAAATTAAAAAAAACTGTCACAGCGAGAAGGAAATGAAGTAAAAATGACTAAATAAGGAGGATATCAAGACATATAGATCAAACGAAACGGTATATCATATCAGTATATCAGCGCACATAGTATCGCTTGAAATAATCGTATAAAAGTTTTTGTTTACTTTTTTTCGTTAATATATTCTAGCATTTATTTGTAAATATTTTTTGATATTCATTTATCATGGAATAATTTTATCACTAACTAACATCACTAGTGGCTTATGATCATTACTGTTAAGTTCTAAAAGTTACAATGATATCACTAAGGTCTATTACTTCATTTCCTTCTACTAATCCTATCAATTTACGTTTCATCAGAACTTTCATTCTCCGAAGAAGGAAGTTGTAATTGCCGTTTAAAATCAGCAGAAAGTTCTGACAATTTTAATTGTATCGGTAGATTGCAATCAATAACATTTGGATAAACTATTGACGTTGGCTTGAACAGAAATGGTATATTGAAATTTCTCAGTGCTTCTCTATCTGAAAACCTATAACTTATACCGGGTCGACTTTGTAGGTCATCAAAAAATATCCTAGGAGGTGGTACTGGTGGTAATTGTGGTAATGCTGGTAATACTGATAAAGGTTGTTGTGGTGGTAAAGCTGGTAGAAGTGAAGGTGGAGGTAGAAGTGAAAGTAGAGGTGGAGCTAGAGGTGGATATCTCAGGTATAACGGGAAAGTAGATCGATTTTGAAGATAGGGTGGATATGACAAGCTAGGTCTCCAGTGCTGTTCATCTTGCCATCGTTTGCTGAAATAGGAAATCTATGATTTAAATTCTTATAAATTTTGGAGACTTTAAAATTCAACTAGATTCATTCAAACTTGCACCATTAAAATAACATCCAAAGAATTTCAATCATCAAATGATCGATGAATTATGTGATCCGCAAATATTGTTATATCAATGTAAGGGTTAAATTATCCGAATATTTTAATTGCTAACATTTTATATTATATGACAATTAAAATATGTGAAAAAAAAAAAGGCTTGCAAGAAGAGTTTTTATAAAATATTTAAAACATTTTTATTGCACTCAAAACAATACGAAATGTATTAAATATCTAAAAATGAATTAAGAGATTTCATATTTCTTATATTTATCAAAAAAAAAAAAAAAAAAAATTATAAAGGAATCTCGAAGAAAGTTAAATGATAAATAACTTACAATGTCCTTACATATAACGGTCCATTAGTGGTATCTTGCTTTTCTAGCCAATTACGATAAATCGGCACTTCATCATTTCTTGTTGCAACAACAAAAAAAAATATTTGTTGTTCTAGTTCTGCTTGTAATGCAGCTATTCGTGTAAGCACTAAATGTTTTTCTTCCAAGTTTGCATCATTCAGAATAACTAGTCTAACTTGTGCTGAGATTATCTACAGAAATAAAATATAAGTTAGAAAAAATTAAAAAAAAAGGTAATAAATAATATTTAATTTATTTCAACAACAACAACAACAATAGCACACATTCGATTATAAAAAGTTAATCAATTCTGGAGTACTAATGAAATTTATGATGATATTACTGAAATTATAAATTAGAAATAGATGTGTTAGAATTAGATAATGTTAAAATTAGAAGTATACCTGTTGTTTAAGATTCTGAATATTATGAAAAATTTGCTGTACAGTAGCACCAGGAAATAATTGATAGAATAGATCTCGCAACATTTGTAGTAAAAAAATTATTTATTTGAATGATAGGTATCAGAAGAAGTGATAAACATTGAGTAGGATTATTTAAGATTTCGAAAGTAAAGGAAATAATTCTGTTTTGGAGGTATATCTATGATCATATAAAATCTTAAAGATCATTGATTATCCTTTTCTTTTCTCCCTCCTTCTTCTTCCCATTTCCCGGGATAAATGAAACTTTTAAAAATTTATGAATAAATATTTATTCATTACCAAAAAGATAAGGAAGTATTCTTGAAACATTTGAAACAAAGAAAAAAAAAAATTGATCAGTTTAATAGTAAAGCTATCAAAGCAAGTAAATATTCATAATAGACAGAAATCAAATATAATCCAATGTAAAACAGATTTATCAGTTTAATTTCTAAGCATAAAATTGTACTCAAAATTTTCTGCTTTAATTAGGAAAGATATCAAATTTGCATTTTTAGCAGTGAAATTATAAATTATAAAATAGGATACAACTTGATAAATTCATATTAAATAAAATAAGAATTGGGTATGACTTGTTGTGGGTCAAAGAGTAGTATATTCCTGAATTTTCTTCTGTATTTCCTTTATGTTTTACTTATTTTCGAAAAAGTATGCTTTCTTTTATTATCTATTATCTGTTTTATTTGAGAATGCAATAATTAAATAGAACTAATTAATCTTATCAAAAATTTGTAGCATACAATAAGCACAAACAATTAACGTCATTTCTATTGTGTAATAAATTAATGGATTTTAAATTAAAATTTAAATCCATTTTTTTGATAAATTTTCCAATTTCATTTCAGTCATGCTTAATTTGCACAGCAATATTATTGTTATGTTTACCTGCTTTTTTATTTTATAAAGCAATTGCATTACTCACAACCATTGCAACTTTGTTTGGCTTTGGTTCTATAATATTGCGCATGGGTACCTGGCGAGAAGTACATCAGATGGAAAAGTTAAAAGCTATTAAATCACCACCTGTAAATGAAACTAATCATTTTGAAAAATAATTCGAAATTTATCCAAAATATCTATTTCATTAAGCTATAAGTTTGAGAATTATATAAATTTTGAAAAAAAAGAAAGGATAAAGAAATAATAAAGTGATAAAAGTGAATAATTTATCATTTCAAAAAGTTTGGATTTTTTCCAAATTCCATACTGAAATAAATTTTTATGTACTTAAAATTGTTAGGTCACCACCTGCAAATGCAACAAATCATCCTGAAAAATAATTCGGAGTTTATTCAAAATCTCCGTTTCATTAAGATATATGCTCAAGAATTTTTTTTTTTAAATTTCTTTTTTAATTTTTTTGATAATTTCTTTTGAATTTAAATTTTCTAATTTTTTAATTTTGGGAAATATTCTTGAACATTTCACGAACATTGATTTAAATTGTAGCTTATCAAAACTGTGCCAGAAATATATTTAATAGCATATTTTATTAATTAACCTGTAATTGCTAAGCATTACATTATCGTTAAGCAATGTTTTTTTTTTCTTCTCCTTTTTCTTTAATTGTGTTAAAAAAATTAGATTTTTTTGATTTTAAAAATTTGCTGCTTTTTGCAATTTCAGGAAATATTCTTGAATGCTTCACGAGCATTGATGACCTGGTCAGCATTGATTGCTTGGTTTTGGCTTAATTACACATTTAAATTCAACGATTTTGTTAATACAAGATGGTTTATTTCGGTACCAATAGCAATTTCTTTCTATTTCATTTCATTTATTTGAGTAACTTAAAAAAAGAATTGAATTAGCTATCAATTCTTTCTGCTTAGAAATTTGATTTTCAATTCAGTTTATAAACGAAAAAAATAACCGAAATTTCTCGACATCCTCTATCTCTATAGCAATATTTTTACAGAATTTATTATCGATGTCCGGTTTAGCTGTTCCATTTCAAATTTTGATCTATTATTACTAGCATATTTGTTTACCAATATGAACAGGTGTTTTCATTTTGCAACACAATATTTCATTTTATTTGCAATAAATTTCAAATTTCCATTATAGGATTCAACTTTTTGATATGGTAGTTCAGTAAGACAAATTTTAAATTATTTTGAAGTTTTGTTTGTTTGTTAGGAATTATTTAATGATGAAATGAATCAATGATGATTGATGCATCAGGTGATTATAATAAAAAAAAAAAGAGAAATCTTGCATTAAATCAGTGAAAAAATAAGCTAATTTAGCTGATTAATTTAGCTTAGAATATTTACATTTTGTTCACATATTAATTAATTATCGAGAGAATTTGCATACTAAAAAAATATGCAAATCATACCAAACACATTTATTAAAGAAAAAGGTTTCATTAGAATTCATTTAAAAAAAAAAAGAACATTCATTGATTACTTAAAGATAAGTGATCAAATTCTGTTGTGTGATCACAATCCCACATAAATTTTATTTCATGAACAAGAATTCAAAAATATGCTTTCTGCTAATTAAACAAAATATAAACATAAACTTCAGTGCACGAAATATGGCAAATTCTTCAGGAGAAATATTACTCTAAATTCGTTGTTTGTTTTTTAAATTAAAAGAAAAATTTTCAGTGTATTTATAAATATTTATGATGGTGGTGTAGTATACAGAACCAATTAACCTAAATACATAATACAGATTTGTTTATTTCTTGTTTTCCAAACAATCAATGTCCGAATAATCCTGCGGGTTTAAACATGTTGACAATAGCGCCATCAGTAATACATCAGGAAACTTTAGAAATATCCATATCATACAGAAACGAATACTCCATTTCATTCTCGACAATTTTAAAATGTGTAAAAGAAAATATCTTACTCTCGCCACAAAGTTAAACTGCAAGAAATTGTTCACTTCTTTTGAAGCAATAAAACAATATCTAAAGAATTTTCAATCCATAATTAATAGAGACGATTAAAAGTTCAGAGGTATATTTCGGCAAACAAAAAGATGCGCAAAAGTCAAGTGCTATTATCAGACTGTTGCAGTGAATTTCTAATGTTTTTTATGATATTTAACCTTCTGATTTGTTTTTCTCTTCATTCCTCATTCTCTATCCCATATTTCACAGAAGTGGCGCAAATGTATTAACTAGAAGATTCGAAGGTGAACATTTTGACAGGCGCTTTAGTACTATTTCCACAAATCAAAGTTATACATATAAGATTATTAGCGAGAGAGAGAGAGAGAGAGAGAGAGAGAGAGAGAGAGAGAGAGAGGGAGGGATACTATTCGATTTAGCCAAGGTGAAAGGTTCATTAATGTATGTATGTTAATCAGCACCAGAAGAGGGAGAATTGAGCAGCTTGATTAAACACCAAAATTCTCTTTTCTATAAGCGAAATTCTAAAAGAATAGGTTTTTATTTTAAATTAATTTGAAATTATTTGACGGATCAAATTTGATGGGTACCATTTCATTGATTTCCCAACGATAAGTTTCTTCTTTCAAAATATTGCTAAATTTCACTTGTTTTCGATTCCTGATACGATCAATAATGACGCAATATCCGGAATTTCTTCTTATCGTACTACTATCACAACGGATACGAGCATTAGAACAGGAACCAACACTGGTAACTGTATATGTTATTGGTACCTGTGCTATTACTACTACGTAAACTGATGCACCGCATATATGTTAATTAAATCGGTCAATAATAAAATTCCATATCACTTTTATCGTTAACTTATGATTTTTAACTTCTCAAAAAAATCACTAGACAAAGATTTCAAAAATTATTTTTGTTAAATTTTTAATTTATGTTTTTTTTTTTTTTTTTTGTTCGATTTATAATCAATCTATCAGCTAATTTCTGTTGTCAAAATGTTATTTTACGTTAACTCCGTCAACGCAAATAAAAAGCCTACTGATATAAATCTTGCAATCAAACAGCAAATCTAAAATTTAAGACAACAATGTCATCGTTTAATTTTTAGGAATGTTTTACGGACGGTTTACGATTACGTTTCGAACCGGAAAAGCCATTTTACGGACATATTTATGTGAAAGATTCCTTTATGTATGAAAATTGTCATTTAGACTATACGTGGAATCCAACTGTTGGTTCATTTTACTTCAACGTTTTCTACAAAAGTGACTGTCATGTGAAATATGAGGTAGAAGTAGTAAGTACTTATTTTAGGGCGGAAAAGTCTAAAAAGTTTTTTTGCTAAAAATAAATAATTGAGTTACAATTTTTAACTTAATCAAATGATTCGCAATAAAAAAAAAAAAGAAAATTAAGTTATGAATAGAGTGAAATAACTTTTAATGGAATAGCATTAAACAATTACAAGGAAAGATCAGTTATCAGGTAATTATCACCGTTTTATCATCCTTGCAGCGAGAACCATCAGGTATCAGTTATCAGGTAATTATCATCGTTCAGTATCACTATTTATTTCTTACACAAGCATATAGAGCTTATAGTGTTAGCTGTTTCTATGAAACTGTCATCGATCCAAACATGCAAATCAGGTAAATTAGATCGGAGAGTGTTGTAATTCCGGGTTTATTTACTTGTTTACAGATCACTGGCAAATGGTATTGTCAGTTTCGACAAAACAAAAACAATTTAATTAATTTAAAATTTGAAAAAAGTATAATAATATAATTAGAGTTAAATACGTTTTTAAAATGAATCGAAAGCATTGGGTGATCATTTGGACTTATTGTTTTGATATCTATTGTCATCTACTTTACTTCATTTTAAATTAAAATAAGGTTGAAGTAAGATTAAAATTTCCGTTTTAAATCAGTGGCTTAACGATGACAGAATTGGAAAACGAAATTACGACTAACTGTGCATACGATGTGCTAAATTCAATAAACGGTGAGTCGGTAAAATATGCAAATGTTGGCGATCGGCTAATTCATAAATGGAGTTGTGAATCAGGTAAATTGAAATTACCGGTTTCTTGAATATCATAAGCTTTTGCTATGATTTATACCGACATCTAGAATTATCATGGCAAAGAATTTAATCATGATGATTGAACAATTTCTATGATTTCAGTTAGATTTTAATGAGTTGGTCATTAGGGTTTATTTACTTTTCTATTTGATCTAATCTGATTTATAACAAATTTCTTTAAATTTTGTTTCCTTTTTTAATTTGTGTCAATTTCAGTCTTCTTTTCAAGTATAAATTAATGAAATAGAATTTATTTTCAGTCCATCTACTCTTATGCAAAAAATACTTCCGTATTATCTCATTCAATCTTATTTTTCATAATTGGATAGGAGCATTTTTTTTTTTTTTTGCTTTAATTTTATTAAAAATTGAAAAACTTGCAAATTTTTCCAGATAAGTACGGCATGCTTGTTCATTCATGTTTCGTTTATGAATCTGATAGTGACACTTTCCAGCTTGTCGATAATCAAGGGTAAACATTTACAGATTCCTACTCGTACTTCAATTCGTTTAATTCTTTGTTCAGTGAAATCTTTTGATGTTAACTTTTACTAAAGCAAGAATAACTTACTTATCAGTAGTTTCACAAATATTACTTTCATATTCCATCGAGAAATAGATTGAAAAAAAAAAAGCTTTAATAAACTACATCGTTTCACATTAAATTTGTCTAAAGAATTCATAATTTTTTATGAAATTTTTTTTTTCACCGAAATTCTCAAAAATATTACAACTTTTCGTCAAATTATCATATTAGGAACTGATCATATGATCAGTAATAATTTTAATTTGATTAAAAATATTTTCAGTTGTATCACAGATCATACATTAATGGATCCATTGCACTATAGTGATAGTCTCACATTAGCATATTCAGTGATACCAGCATTCAAATTTGTTGATAAACTTACTATTCGTTTTCAATGCAAAGTGGCACTCTGTATTAAAGCGCAAAATGGCTGTGAAGGCATTTCGGTATTTCACTTTTTTTTTTCTTAAAATTCTATTTTAGCATAATTGTAGTGATATTATTTCTTAGAATATAAACTTTCTAAATATATTAATTTACTATGGAAAGATTTTTAATTTTAATTTTTTTAAAAAAAAAAAAAAAAAAAAAACAGCGATTCTATCGTCTCTTTGATAAAAAATACAAACATTGACTAATTCATAAATGCAAAATATAAGATTTATTAGATAAATATTAAACTTTAATATTTTGTTATTTTTGTTTTTGTTTTTTCAGCCACCCAAATGCGAATATCTTTCGACCTTAACATCAATTTCTAAACATTCAATTTCCAAATCTCCTTCTCCTATACTTTCAAATATTTTGCAATCATCATTGCCTCAAAATATCGAATCGTTATGCGAGGGTATGGTACAATATAAGTTAATTATAGCTAATTTAAAAGCTTATCAAATTTAATAGATCGAATTATCATTATGTTTTATTTGATAAAAGATGAAAAAACTTTGATAATAAGAATGACCAAGTGATCAGTTAATTTAGATATGTAATTAGTAAATTAGCATGCTTAAATCAGATTTTGGAATTTTCATTTAGTTAACAATAAAAATAAAAAATAAGGAAATGTTTGAATTATTGGTTTTTAAGATTTCTCCACTTACTGTTTTCTTTTCAGAGAACACTAAGTTCAAAAGTTGCAAAGATGTTTTTAATGCCAATAAACGGAACTTCTCTACGAATTACAGACGAAAACGTTTCCTGAATGAATCTCGGCTAGCAATGAATTCTCTTTTACGGAAGTCTTTTACTGAGACAAATTCTACTAATGTCACTCGTTTCACATTAGATATTCATACTGATCAGGTCACGAAATTTTCATATCAAAATGAATTCATTTCATTAATTTAATGATAACTTATTTGATGAGTGGATCAAAGACTGATTAGTGAATAAAATAAAATATTTATTATTTCATGAATTTAGAGTCAAAATGATAAGAGATTATCACTGTAATTCAGTTCTAAAAAAAAGATGGCTAGGATCTTAAATTTTTAGTAATACATTAGAATTTTCCAGGCATGATAAGAGACGAAAAAAATTTGCATAAATCGGAAATTTTTTATAGAAATACCAAGATGGCAACTATATTCTTAGGTAAAAACAAGCAGAAGCATTAATCGATCCAACACAATTAGCCTTGTTTACCTTACATTATATATGATAATATGCAATAATCTAAATTGGAAATTCATAAATCAAAATTAAAAACTTAATGAAAATAATAATTAAAAAATATTTTCAGCTTGTGATTTTTGAACTTAACGAAATAATTCGAACAAAATCAGCGAAAGTACCAAGCATTTCATACGAAGCATTAAAAAATGAAATCTTTTTGCAAACTGCAATCTTTGTTTTGCTTATCGGATTTATCTTATTTTTATGCAAAAAATTTGTTATAGTAAACGTACAACCGTTATAAATTGTGAAAAATATGTTCAGCAATGACAAATTTCAATAGATATTTTAATCTAAAATCGAATTTAAAAATAATTGAAATTCTTTCTTCTGTTATGGCTTTTTTTTTCAGTATCGATTTACTTTTATTAATTTTTATTCAAAATCTATTGTTCCTTTTTTTCGACTTTTGAACTTTGGCATAGCTCCTAGTATTACTTCATCGTATTATTATCCATTTAATTTGAATCGAAATTTTCCGTTTTTAACCTAATTTTGAATTTATTTTTCAACTTATGAAAATTTCATCTCTTTTTTAGTAAAAAATTAATTTCGCTTCATTCTCTTTTCTTTTTATTATTTGATAAACTTTGAGGATAAACATTTGGTATAATTTAAGTCTAAGTTTGTTGTAATTTTTCATATTATTATTACTATTTTTTTTTATTACTTGTCATAATTGTTTGTCGTAATTATTTTTTAAAGTTTAAATCTTTTTTATTGCCTTATTTAATTTATCATAACTTGTTGAAGTTTTATATAAGATTGTCAACATTGTCAATATCAAGAAAAATATCAAATTTCTGCTGACCCAGCTTACCTGTTCTTAGGTCCTTTTTTCTCCAAGTTAATATAATATTAAATGTTTATATAATCGATATATAATACTGAATATTTATATAAGATTAAGTCTATATAATATTGAATAGAATTAACAGTAATATTGCAACAAAGGAACTCATTCAACGAAGACTTCAATTAAAATAAAATTAATTTTTCCTTTATGAAAAGTTTGGCTTTCCTATTTTGACATGCATTCATTCGATATGACATCATATATATATGTTAAACACACTTAAATTTCAATCGAAAAAGTTATCAACAGGTAAGTCTACATAATTGCTTATATGCTAATTAAGGTTTTTCCAAAATTTTGCAATTCACTTTCCAACCTTCTTAGAAATGCTATTTAAACTGAAAAAGTATCAAAAATGAATTACTTAAACTCATTTCAAAGTTTAATGCTAAAAGTTTCAATTCAAAACTGATAGCTCCAACCCTATTCACTGATATCTTTTCATTATTCACAAAAAAGTCATACAATTGGTTCCAAATTGTGATAGTTTATGAATGATTTATGACTTTTTATTGTTTACTTTAAATGTATTCAAGTATGACATTACTTCTGGTGAAATGTAATACCAGGAATAATTCAAAATGTTAAAGTATTTACAAGATACACTATTGAAGAAATTAGCTATGTTTTCGGTATAAAGTTAAATTAGTTAATTCAAAATTTAAGATATTCACTTTTTAAAATTAAATGGTACAAGTAGTAGCGAAAGTATGTCATACTGAGTTTAACAAAACAAAACTAAGTTTACTTTTTGATCTGAGAAGGAATAAAATCTTAAGAATGATGAATTGTTTTTTAAAAATGATCTGAGTTTCATCATTTCAAACTGAAATATATCGTATTTCCAATTTTATCTATTTGCTAAAATCACTATTTGAAGTTCGAAGAAATTAGAATAGAAATTTTGGATCGTAATTTGTTGACAGCTTTGTTATCTTCTATTTGTTTTATTTAGATGTTTGAGTATTATTTCATCTCTTAAAACCGTTTGTTTTTTTAACTTTTCATTGAAAGGAAAATTCATTTGTTTATTCCATTTGTTTTATTTTTCTTTTTTCCTGTTATCATTAATTCATTTTACTTATTTTTTTCTTTCATGAATTCCGATTATTATTTTTTTTTTTCATTTGAGTTCACCAATTTTCATTTCCATACTTTGAGTATTATTAAATTTATCATTTATAATTTTACGGAAATGAAATTGTTAAATAAATATTGTTTTCTATAAGGCTCTTATGAATATTACCTTACTGTGAATATTTTTTATATTATTTAATTTCATCCACTTATAATACTTGCACATGTATTTTAAATTTTCTTATCGTAACATATTAGATTAGATAAAATGGTGCTAAAATTTTAACTGTTTTTAAATTGTTAAATATGTCGGATATCATTGATTTGTATTCCACAAACAGTTTCGGATGATATGTTCTTATCATGAAAATTACTGATATGATATATTTCTCTTTTTCCACTTGATAAAAACTTTTTTTTTGCAGCATTTTTGTGTCAATTGAAATTTGTGAAAGTTATAATTAGCAGAAGAGTGCAATAAGCACTATTATAAATGTAATAGTGTCAGTTTTTATCTTATAATTATTAATTAATGCTATTTGTGAAATCTTTTTAAGCATTATTTCATGTATAGGAAGAAGGTAATCCTTAACTGAATATTTTAACTCTGTTCCGGAAGTGGTTGAGCCATATCAATCCTGAAACAATCTTATAATTTCAACTATTATGAACAACTCAACGAAGATTTGAGTTATTTATGTAATTAACTAAGACCCACATAAGGCAGAAGACTTAAGTTAAACTTCCTTATCCGCAAGTAAACTAAAGCATTTGGCATCCGCATGTACTATGTTGAGATTTCCGCAAGTAATGGACGCTACCGCCGCCTACGGAGGCACTTATTATTCCGAGCAGTTAAATTGCGCTAATTCTTTATCAGGAGGCATTAAATGCACTGTGAAGAAAGAAAAGAGGATTTTTTATGTTTTGAAAGCCAACACTACTTGCCAATTTGGAAGAGAAAGATGGGAGAGAATGAATGCTTCAGGGACATTCTGTCACATAATGTCGCAGATGCGTAACATCTAACCGACCGACAACATCATTTTACTCTTTTGCCAACCTACAATAAGGTACTCTGAATGTGCAGCACAAAATATCCAAGGTCATTGATAATTTGCTTTTAAATTCATCATCATCATCTTATACAGTTACTGTTATTATTGTTTAAAAGTATGCTTTGATCATAGTCTAATCTCATGCATTAATGATACTTTTTGATAGTCATTTGAAAAAATTTTCTTTTGCAATAAATTATTCAAAGATTTTTTCAAAACGATTTTAGAGATTTGAACTCAATCAGTGTTACTTATATATATAAAAATTTTAAGCATGGAGTACTGATCGTATTATCCTAAAGTAATAAATCTTTTTGTTTGCGAAGGGAATATAAAAAAGTATGAACAAAGAAAAAAAATTAGAAATAAAAGGTATAATGGAAAAATGAAACCAAGAAATTAAACTTTTGAAAATTGATCCATCCTTCTTCTTTTCACACCAAAGGAATTTTGCCTATTAGCTGAAGATGATCTCTCATTACTCAAGATTAACTCATAATTCTATTTGATCTTTCTCTTACTACAATATACTGTTTAACTCTTAGATGGATATTTCGACGTGTATTTTTTGTTTATTTTTCATTTATTTTGGAATAAGAATCAAATAGTAAATAATTATTCTCGACATATATGTTGAAGTTTTGTACCTTTTTGTAAATCTAAGTTAAATCTCCAAAAAGTGCTCTTTCATTTGCTTTATAATATCTATCAAATAATGATATACACAAAAATTTTATCAAATAATAAAACTTTTTTTCAAAAAATGAAAAAATTTGCAATTCTCATATCCAAAGTTCAACTACTTTTCTTTCTTGAATTGTAGAAATTTGATACTCAAAATCCAATTTCTATTTAAGGATGTAAACTATAAAGAAACCACGTACGTCTTTCTCGACTCTGTACGTTTCACAGAATTTAAAGTTAAAATTTTTCTCTCTAAATTTTTTCTTTCTATAAGATGATAGTTCTCTTTAGAAATGTAGAAATGATAATCTGATAACATAGTGTTTTGATAACCTCTACATTTCCAGTTTTTCCTTTATGAAACTATAATTAAATTCCTCTTTCTTGCTCTCTTCTTATCATCAAAAAATTTTTAACACTACCTTATATTGTTCTAATCTACTTTAATACTTAATTTTTGGTTTTAATTAATCATACAATTTACATAATTTTATTTTTGAGAATTCATATGGCTGAAGAAGTTTTGCATAGATTTTATATTAATTCAAGCCGTCACAATGTTTCTTTTGAAACCGTTGAACAGTGCATTATATTTTTTCCTGATTAAATCGTACAGAAAACTCTTCTGATTATCATTTAAATTGCATATAGAATAGCTTTGGTTTGGACCAATTCATCATAATCTGTATGACTGAACTTTTTAATACTTTGGATTTCTTAATTTAATTAAATTCCAAATAAGCAATTAAGCAAAGAGATCAACTTGTTGCTATTCAATTAAAATTTTTTCAATTTATCACTTATGAATAGAAAAATTCAAGTTTGGTTTAAGAGCTTTTATATTTAATAGTAATTTTTATAATAAAATATTAGCTTAAAATTATTCTCTTTCAGATCTCTTTTCTTCTATTTCTGACAGATTTTCACAAAAATAAACTGAATAAACAGGTCGAATTAATTGAATATATTGAATTAATTAAAAACCGAATTACTTAAATTTCATTGAAACTCTCTTATGTCTTTAATTTTCCTATAAAATTTATTGAAATTCTTATATGATAAAGGAATGCTATCTTTCCCTTTCTGCATAATAAAATTTTTTTCATTTTCTACACTTAGCAGTAATGGAATCCGAAATACTTCATCATTTACACTTTCATTTATCAACATTCTTAACCACATTTTATTTATCAGCTCGTTATCACTTCTTTCCAATTGCTGATAAATATCTTTATCTTGCAATCGTTACATCTTGAAGATTTAATAAAATAAACCGGTTTGTGATGTGCTATTTAGCTTAAAACGAGTATTAGTGACAATTTGGTTAAAATAATCCGAGCAAAAAGTGTTTTATAATTTTGTTTTCTCTTTAATGCAGGTGGTGCTGTTATCACTTAACCAACAGTAATACTATCACTTCATTATCACAACTATTTCCTCACTTTTTATCATTTATCTCAGAATATATTGCATTGGAACAGTTATTGGTCTGTTGAATTCAGCCAGAATTTCAAGTTTATTAAAATATAAATTTTCTGAAAAAGACGTTTACTTTTTTAAAAAATTTCGCTACTAAAGTTTGCTTTTTCTCTAACACAAAATTTAAATGAAAAAATCCAAATACTATTTAGTGAATGCTCACTTTTTTAATAGAACTGAAGTAGTAATCGGAACGAAAAGTCGAAATGTCAAAGTGCAATGAGCCAAAAAGTCTAAGTCCAAATGCAATCTTTGTCCAAATCTTCTAAAGTATTAAATGTTACACATTTTTAAAAATTTAATTTATAGGTTTAAATACAACACATAGTGAGTATTTCTTCTTATAAGCGATTCTTTTAACAATTTTGAAATGGACGAACTAATTTCTAATTAATGCACATTTAATTTCCTCGTCAATGAATGATCGCAGCATATTCACTTTGTGCTCTGAAATTGAAATGTTAAAATATTGTAGTCTGCGATGAAAGAATGATCTACAAAAGATACTTTTAGCAAAAATGAAAAGATTGAAAAATGATAATCGATAAACTCTCTATTCGATTTTGTTTATAGTACTGATTGATAACTGTTGATAATGCACTATAAGATTAATTTGCTGTATTTGAATTTAAAAGCTTCGTTGAGTTACTACGTAATCTATCAAATTTAAGTTATGCATGAAATTGTGCATAGAAATACATTGGAGACTAGATAAATATATCAATATAATTAGATCACCAACAAATTGTTCCTTTTCATACCATTTCATAATTTTGAAAACTTAAGAGCTGAAAGGAAATATTTAATTACTTCTTTTGAACTAATCATCCTAGTATTTTTGATTTTTCAAATAGTTTAAAAGATTTTTGATTGCAAAAAGCTTCATGTTACTAAATATAGTGCCATACTGTAAGAATTGATTAAAATATCGAAAAGTACAGATTTATATCAACAGATATTCAGATTTTATAGCAATAATATTTCTTGAATTCAAGGATTAATTCATAAAACTTATTAATTTCTTTTTTCAGTGAGCGTAAGCAAACATTGTTTGTCACAGGAGATCAAATATTTCCTCAAGATTTTAAGCTTTAACCCTAGCAAGGTAGATTAACTCTTGTCAGGTGGCTAATTTTGAGTAAATTAGATCGATTACTTTTACTTTCTTCCAATTATATTTTCTTAAAAATTTACCACATAGAACTTTAGAAAAAAAAAAAGAATCAAAGAATTCAACAAAACAGATATATCCTTGTGACCATTAATAATCTGAATGACCCTATTTATGTTGTGGCAACATAAGGGTTCTAAAATAAGTAATAAAGACTCATAACGACAAATTATTAGATGTATCACAATTTTATGGTCATTTCCATAGTAATTCCATCCAGTTGTCCAGCTACCTAAGTGTAAAAAAGTTTTGAGGAGGTAATTGGAAAGGTTAAAAGTTCAAAATGTTAAGGATGCGTGTGACCTTTACATTTGTTATTGCCATTGCTATTCAACAGAAAGGGATAAACTTGCAGATATTTTCTATCACAAAGCAATTCTCTAACTAAAATGGACAAAATAACATGTCAATCTTAGATTATGATCCAGTTCCTGACCGGATCATAATCAAGTAGAATGTTTGTTCATAAAACTTTGTTTCAAAAAAAAAAAACAATAAACAGAAAAGATTCATAAAACTTCTTAAGATAGTAATCCTTCATGTTAAAAGGATAGAATCAGTTTGCATTTGTTATTTGACTTGATTGATATGAAATTTGTATTTATCATTGTAATAAATACAAATTTGAAACAAGCTTAAATGTGCCATCAAAATCAAATCTCTCTCTCTCTCTCTCTCTATCTTCAAATTTTATTAAAATTTTTAGGAATTCAAGTTAAATAGTGCAGATAGTTTCAAAATGAAAACAAATATAACGCTTTTTGTTTTTACAATATTTTACTGCTCTGCCATTTATAATTTCCAGTTAATATTCCGTTTTTGGATTTGGAAACAGCAAGCATTTCGGAAAAGTTTTCTTAACAAGAACTAAGATGACCGCCTAGCGTTATCAGTGTTTTTTTCTGCTTTACTGTTGGCAGTGGTAGTATTACTTTTTGATTTTAACACTCATAATTAAATTTAAAAATTGGGCTTTAAAAAAAAATTAATTGTACTAATTGCTATCAATAAAGATAATTTAATTCCAATTATTTAAATCATTTCTAAACACTTTCTCTGATTATGTTCGCAGGTTTTGTTATCCCTTACTTACTGCTACAACAAACAGTTTTTTGAGCATCATTAATTTTAGTCAAACTTTTTTTTATTTAAAATGATTGTAGAAAAAATTGCCTTGTAGAACAAATATTTGTATGATAAATCTGAATAGCTTCTGTGTAATGCAGAAACGATTAAATTTCCTCTATTTTTCGGTGATTTACGATATAATTATTGGATAATTTATTTTAGCTAAATTTTCTCCGCTTAATACTATCTCTGCTAGTAAGAAATGTTCGCAGAAGACAACGAAAAGTACAAAAATTACCGTACAATGAAAATAAAATTTCAAATTCAATCATAATCGATCAGTGGACAGTGATCGTAAGAGCTATGCTATACTATTTCACTTGAAATATTAATTGTTTTTAAAAATTGTTCTTAAAAAACGTGTAGAAAACTTTTAGATATAGCATGTGGCAATTATACACTCTGTGGGCAATTTATCTGATAACAATGAAAATAGGTATCATTGGTAATCTTTGGGTTATCTGTTCAATTATACGTAATATACGACCTCAAACAAATGGTTGGCTAAGACGGCCAAGTGATTGTCTAAGAAGCCATATTTCTGTTTTGGCATTTGTTGATTTTATTGTCGTTTGTTCGCTTGCTTTACGCATTGTGTACATTTGGGATGAAACTTTAACTTTTGGTAAGTTGAAAAGTTCGCGTACTTAAATGCAAATTAAAATTTTTAGAGGATATTTGAGATAACATAACAAGTGTAAAAGAAACGAGATGAGAGAAAAAAAAAAAAAGAATCAGTTACTTCAGATAATATTAATTCTCACTTGATAAACAAATGCTTGTTTATCAAGTGAAAGTAATGTAGGAAACTGAATGTGTAATTCGAGATATCCTGCATATGATCTATCTCTGTGATATAAATTTCTTCTTAAAACTTTGTTTATTTATATTTTTTTAATAAATGTTTTTGTAGAAATGTTTTTTTTTTTTCTGAATTAGTTCATAATCAATTATTGAATTTTAAAGAAATTTGGAATTGTCGAGGATTATATTTCATTGAGCAGTTATCAAAAATGCTATCCATGTTTTGCATTGCATGTATCAGTATCGGAAGATATATTACAATACGTAAACCTTTTAATAATCAGGTATCATGCATTTTTTTTTATAGGAAATTGAATTTAATTGGTATTACTTTTATTTTAATGATTTACAAAATGTACTGAATAATTTTAATTTAATTTAAATGCTTTAAGAATTCTGAATTTAAGCGATGAGTTAGGCTTAAAATAGTCCTTTTTTTTTTGGAAATTTTAGTCTTAAATTAAGTTTGGAATCATTAATCGACATAAAACAGTTTAGAAAAATAAAATTCAAACTTTTGGAGCTAATCGATTGATTATTTTCAAAAACTTTTTTCATTTTGTCTACTTTTTCAAATTGTAATTTGAAATAATTTTAACGACTTGGAAAAATGAGAAAATTTCAGATTCGTAGACATTTTTATCGAGGTTTCCCAGCGGTACCTTTATTGCTATGCTTTCCTATTCTTATTCCAATAATATTTACGATGAAAACAATCGATGTTACCTCGGATAGATGGGATTGTCGCATTAGTAATGATAGTGCATGGAATCGATTAACTGGTTTACTTGTTGGAGCATATTTTATTTTATTAGTGATGCTTATAAGCGCCAATTATGCTGAAATTGTGCGCCATGTGCATCGAAAATTTTCAAGACGAAAAGCAAGACGTAAAATCTTAAAAAATTGTAAAGTGAAAATTATTTTTAGACTTAAAAATTTTCAAAAGTGTATTTCATTATGAACCGTTTTAAATGTGATAAATTTTAAAACGTTACTGTTAGACTTTTTTTTTTTTAGAATCATAAAGTTCTAATAGTAAATATTATCATTTATCAGAGCCACGATACGTACGTGAAATGACTTCTTCCATTGTACGTGTGGCTGTATTTCATATGATCTGTTGGCTTCCGTTTTGTTTCATTGCGATGATTCCTAATGAAGTAACTTTTTTTTAATGAAATATTAATTATTATTACAGTCTTCAATATTATATGCAACCAAATGTTAGTTTACTTGTTTTAAATACAAAGAACTGAATTTGTTTTCATTATGAAAATCTAAATTCAAAAATTTGATTAAAAAGGAAAAAAAGAATTTCAAATTTAAGACATGTTCACTGGTACTAGTATCGATACGAACGATAAGTAGGATTAATGAACACACCTGGGTGTTGTGGATTTTAATACTGGCAAATTGGTTAACATATTTGAATTCCGCATTGAACTGGATTTTCTATGTCGTGTTAAATCGAGATCTCAGGGAACTGATCAGGTTTTCGCTTCTAAAATTACTATAGAAACAGGAATGAATTTATTACCTTTCAATAATGCTTTTCAGTGATAGTTTTGATAAGAAGAAATGCTCTGTTAATAAATTAATATTAAAATATGTATAAATCTTTCCGGCATGCATTATTATTGTACAATGCTACATTCCGTTTCTTTTCGGAATTGGACGAAGAATCACTCTTTTCCTGAAGAATTTAGTCGTACTTTTTGAGAAATGACATGCAATTTAAAGTAGTTAATAGTATCCTTCTTTACTTTGTTCCAGTACTTATTGAAAATTTGGAAGGGAAAAGTAATAAAGTGGGACTGTCCAGGGTAAAGCCTTAAAAATATATTTCATTTAAAGGTATATTCCATAATGTTAAGCCTTAAATATCACTATAATATACGATTCAACATTGTCAATCAGAGTTACTCTTGCAAATTAAAATTAGAAAATGCAATATTTGATGATTACAATCCTATAATAAAATAACTGAAACAATAACTGAGTATGGCATTAGAATAATTGAGTTGAAGGATACTTTCATATAAAAGTTGAAAAAATGAAAAGGTAAAGAAGGCTCTAACTTATGATACTGTTTTTAATTTTGATGCACAAAGCTTTAACAAAATTGCTGCTTAAATTAAAGCAGTAATATTATCAATTGTGATAATTGAGTGATTGAATTAATTCTCAATTTAGCTCTTCGTCTATTCTTCAGTTTTGAAAGATTTTTCAAACTTTTACTCCAGGAGTAATACGAAACGACGAAAACGTAGTGCAATGGCTAACTACTATTCATCATCAAATTTAGCAAACAGATATTCTCGACAACGTTTGGATCGAAGTTTAAGTATTCATGCATTAGCTGAAAGTCTGTAACTGTAAAAAGTGAAATGTGAAATGATGCAAACAATAAATATTCCTTTCCTGAAATTAAAAGTTTTCAATGGTACGCGTATTGTTCAATGGTTAATTTCAAAACAAATTATTTTTCTTAAAGAAATTTAGAAAAAAAAAGAGTAGTAGTTTTCCTGTCATTTTCTGTTAGTAACATTCCGGACTATCCAATTTAATTTGATTGCTTTTTTTCAGAATGTAAACAGATTTCCGTTAAAGTAATTGTTATTGACTGTTGCACGGATAAGAATTTGAATTCATCATATCAAGATTATTTTTGAAATCAAATGCATATTTGGCAAAGGATATATTGCATTTCAAAATAGACAAATTTAATTTTATTTTAGAATTCTGATATTAATAATAAACACAGTGCTTTCATAATGTCAACAACAAATAGTAATTTGTAATTATTTAGATAGTTTTTATGTAATGAGCTGCTACACTTTCAAAGTTTTATCTATCACTGGTGACAAAAGCAAAAACAATTATGTTATTGGGAAATATCATTATTAAAAAGACTTTCTTATAATGAAATTGGTAAAGAAATATGTATCAACAAATTTTATTGGTCTATTAATGATCAGAGATGATAATAGTAAACCGATAGAAAATATATTGAAATGTCACTCTTATCAGTAACAATATGTCTTTTAATGATTGTGAAAAATAAAAAATTTAAATTCATAGCATTAAATTAAAAATACAAATTGTTTATGATAGGTCGAGTATGAAATATGTCATTTATGATTACTAAATGTACTATTTTCTGTGTCATTTGTTCACATATTATATAAAATCATAATTATGAAAGTAATAAAATAATGAAAAACAAAAATTTGAAGCTTTTCACAAACATAAAACTATATTAAATTCTATGAAAATCATTAAAAGATTTACAAAGCATTGGTTCCTGTATTCAGTTTCATATTATATTTTTTCCACAAATTCTCAAGATAACAATAATTATAAATAAGAAATTTATTCATTTTAAAATTTAAAATAACAAAAACATAAGCTGCTTGTGAGAAATTCTTATGACGAGGGCAACTTGCTATCTGATGAATATGTTAAATTAAAAAAAAGAAAAAAAAACAAAACTCTTACTGCCAATTTTCATTTTTCTCAAAATTTTAAATTTTAATTCTCAATTTTCCAGAAATCATCAGTCATAATGAATTATTTTATTAATTTCTAGTCCTCCAAATTACACTTCTTTTCTTTTCTGCAAAAGTTTTAAACACTTCATTTATAGCCATTTTGTCCAAATTTAAATTCACTTCCAAATTTTCGTTTGATCACTTTTCAATGCATTTTTCTGATCCTAAACTGATCGGACGGAACCTCAAACAATCAATTGTTAGATTCATTTTTAAACATTGTATATATTACTTTAATAAATTCTGTCGTACTAAATGTCAACAAAAACTTTGTAAAATTTGGATGAAAATTTAAAGCTTACTTCAGCATTATAACCATATGTTTTTGTACTTTTGATATTAACAGTGGTTTTAGTATGCCATACGAGAATATCACGTGGCGTTGATTCTATTCCAAATGGTGTTAAGTCATTCAAGCTTACATTCAAATGATTCATTAAACATGGTTCTGGTGAATACTCTCGACACTTTACTCTCCATCCCGCTCTGCAAAAGGTCAGCAATTATACATATATTGACGTGACCCAACACTTATCTCCTCCTCACTTTCTTTGTTTGTCGAGAATAAGAGAAATAAGCGGACGTGCTCCATAAAGAATGCAAAAACTAAAGTTGTCTGAATCAGAATAGGAAATCATTTCATCTAAAACTTTCTAATAAAATTGCAGTCCTACACAAAGGTAAAAGTTTTCATTTTTTGTACCTTAGGATAAATTGTTAAAACTTTACTTTGGATGCTGCAAAAGCAGTTCAAGATTTACAGCAAATCCAGCCATATCAAAACCCCATCTACGTTTAGGCGCATAAATTGTTTGCCAGCCTACAACTTTTGCATTAAGAACTTTCGGCGCTTCGACTGCATTATGCGCTACTAAACCTGCAAACAGAACTAGCATTGAATAAGTTTTGAGAGAATTCTTGTGCAGAAATAATATGAATCTAAATGGGCTACTCAATATTTTCTGAAGAGAAGAAAAAGGAAAATAGAGGAATAATTGGCTCTAAGGAATATTTCCAAGTCCTTTCATTCCATTTGAAAATAAGAAGTGAATATGGTTTAATCAATTTTACTAAACAGCAAATTTACATTGATTATTAATTTATTTAAATCACTAATTACTTTTCCATATCACAGCTGATATTAAAGTCTAAAAATAAAGATAAATTTTTTTTTTGCTGTGACTTTCAAAACTAATAAAAAAGTATATGTATATTTAATTAACAAAATTATCTGGTCTTAGCATTTTTGATGTTATTTTCTGATGAGAAGAAATGAAAATAAAAATTAGATTGCATACCAACAGCCCATACACCAACTTTTTCAACATTTCGAATGTATTGATTGAAAAGGCGAATATCGTAAGTGTTATCATCATCAGCAAAATAAACCACCGCATTGTTACCCAACGATGCGAATCGTTCTCGAACAAAATTCAACCCAGCATCACGTCCAGTCCAACCACGTGCTGTAATTCTTGATAGTTATTAAAGTGTTAATAAAAAGAACAATTTTGAAAATTAAATACTATCATTTAAAAAAAGACTAAATGAAAAAGAAAAGAAATATTTTTATTAAAAAAAAAGGATCGTAAAAGTGGAGAGAATTTGAGAATGGAAGAATAAGATGAAACTACTGAACAATACATTTCATTTAGTTTCTCATTTTAACTTATCCTAGTATTAAACTACACACCTGGTATTCCAGGTCGGCGTTTAACAGCTAAATAGTAACAGTTGAGACCACTACGATCCAACAATTGCTTTACAGGTAACGATATATGCTTGGCATCTTCTACAACAATCCAAATTAACTGGCTGATATGCATCAGTGTTTGGGATAACCTACAATTAATTTAGTACTTGGATAAAAGCTATAACATTCGTATTTGATAATTTTTGTTTTTGCTTAAATTAAGTGTGAGATTGATGAGGAGCAGAAAGAAATTTTATTGTCAAAGATTTTACAATTAGTTTCTCCTAATTTCTAAACGGATTTTTAATTTTCCTTTTACTAAAATATATACGGAGTAAGTTAATTGATTATTGAATTAATTATGAGTTAAAAACGACACAAGCAATTTCAGTTTTGAAATCAGTGATAGATAATTCACCTGGTCATGTCAGCCAGTCGTGCAAGTCTCAGGTATGTCGGTGTGATTACGATAATTGTTCGATTATTTCTATTTTGATTATTATGAAAAGCATTATTCGATATTATTCTTGGTTCATAAATTTCATAGTTCCTTTCTTCCACCAAATATATGATAATACACATTTGAAAGGTGATTACAGCAATTGCAAATACAGCTTGAATAGTGGAAAAGATTCCATCAACTGATCGCTGATTAGTTCTGTAAGCAAACAGTTAAATATTTTAGCGATTCAATCCAAATGTCACCTAACTGACCTCTGTGTCATGTCAAAGACAACGGGATTGTGAGAAACATTCATCAATTTCAATAGTTGCTCAAACGAATTAATCCATATTTTGTCATTTTCCTTGTATATTAATACTTCCGGTAAATGTATTCAAAACTTTTTAAACACATTTCAAGAGCTGTTATATTGAGTTGTATTTTGAAGAAAGATAAAAATTTATAAACATCAATATTTACAATTTAAAGTCAAAACTGCAATCATCGTTTTTTTAAGATATAAGATTTTTTTTAGGATTTACGATCAATTTTTAAAATTTTAAGTTTGAAAATTTTCACCGCTATCATTATTCTGCAATAGTGAATGAATAAAAAGTAAATATTTTGAAATTTTCAGCAAGAAATTATCTTACAGCCTTCGTAGAAATTTGATTCTTCGTAACTGCATTTGTTCTTCACAGATTGCCACAGATTTGACTTCATGAATCCAAATTCAATTTAAAATAGAGATGAATAACAAAAGTTGTTGAAGAAAAATACATCGAAATTAATCATGAGAGTTAGTAATGATTACAACAGAATGATTTTTTCTTTTTTTTTAGAAATTATCCTACGATAATTAATAATTAGAAATGGCAATTAGAATTGCAACTATTAGCTTATAAAACTAAAACAGTTTTCAAAAAAAAAAAAATTTTAACTAAGTGAAATATAACTTAATTTGAAAGCAATCATTTTCAAAAGTCAATCCCAAAATTTTTGTAATCAACGCAGAACAATAGAGAGATCGCCCTCCAAATAAAAATAAATTACCTGAAGCGTTCGGGACAACCAGTCCAAATTCACGACTTCTATTAAAATAATTTTTGCAGAAAATCTGAGAATAAAAAAAAAACTATGCAAATTCCGAAATATTAGTGGGAACTCTGTTATCGTCCAAGAGCATATCATTTTAAAATAGAAAACTTCATAAAAAATGCCGCTTTTGCACTTGTGAAATGCAAGAAATTTGCTATGTAATTTCCTTTTAATCAAAAAAAAGATGCAAAATGAAGTTAGCAAATTCTGTTGCGATTTAATTTTTTTGAATCTTTGTATGAGAATTGAGTGAAACTTTGTTTTGACAGCCATTTAAATACATTTTACAACAATATTGCGCCATTTCCTTCTTTAACTTTCGATATTTCTCGTGGAAAACAGTTTTCATGTTTGTTTATGGTGACAAACCATCGGAACATCAAATGCAGCTTGCAATCAAAAACAACGGACAGTGACTATATGACTGGGAGAGGAGAAATGGGGAGAAGTCAAACTGCAGAAAAAATTTTAACAAAACTATGAAGCAGAAAATCTCAAACTGTAACAAGAAAACCCACACCATACCAAGGTCTAGATTTTTATACATTCACAAGTTAAAAGAACCGAATAGAGTCTAAATTTATTTCAACTGCAATTACAATTTTTTTCTCCAGAAGGATTGTTGAAATTAATGAAAGAATGGTACAATGTCTTCAGTTTTATGGTAGAAATTACCAATAGCAATACCGATATAATGTATTCTACAGTCATTTCTAAACATATAAAACTCTTATTCTCTCATTCCTCGATTTCATCAATCTGGAACTACATCAGATGCAAAAAATTCAATTTAAGATTTGCCTACATTAAATTCCACGATAAATTAAATGTATATGTATTTCCATCCAACACAATTCAGTTTTTTTTTTTTTTTCATGTATTTCCATCCAACAAAATTTAGTTTTTTTTTTTTTCATATCATTATCATAATATGTTTGAAGTCAAAAATTAATGTACACAACAAACACTTTTTGTTTCGGTGGTAATGAATGATTTATACTTATTCACAACATTCAGAAACATCAGAAATAACTGTCATAAAGTAGAAGTTAAAAGTAAAACTACTTCACGAATCCTGGTTTACATACACTCTGACGTTACTACTAATTTTAATACCAAAAGATGTTTCCCAGCACCGTTTCTTTTTTCTTTTTTTTTTTTTCGAAGCAGTTGTCATCGAACTTCAAACTAAAATCTTTTGTTATTATGTACAATATTGCCAAGACACAACAGAAAGAAGAAACAAAAAACAAACAAGCAGTTTCAGTAACTAAAAATATGGCACCACAAGGAATTCATAGAATTTTTTAATTTCAGAAATATTAATCATTTTACCCTTCGTTGTTTGGTCAAGTTGCGCATCGACATAACACTAGAAGCAGTACAGGTCGCGGGCCTTTTCCGACTACCTGAAGTGAAAACAATATATTTACATAATTAAGAGCGAAATTAGTTTCATATTTCAAACCTGTACATCCATATACTCAAATAAAATGAAAAAATGGAAAATTGTGCAAATGGAAGATAACAAACAAATTATAAAAATAAAAAATTTATTGAACAGAACCTGGATAAGGTTCTCCATCAAGCGTACTCGTCATTTCTTCTGTTTCTGAATGAAGGCAGTATAATACATAGAAAAAAACGAATAAAATCAAAATGCTAAAATCTAATATACACAAATTTCCAACGTGGCGAAGTAATTAAAGTAAATACCTGTGAATAATGATGCAGGGTTTTCCTCTGGATTTTCGATTTCGGGTGCAATTGGTAGAAACCAAAGTGGGCCTTGTTTAGCAGTTAAATCAGTGACATACATGCTACCATCATCATCTTCGTCCGAACTACAGTAAACAGCGTTTGGTTTAAGAGTTACAACGTCAACAATTTCGTCGTCCTCTTCCTAATTAGGACAATCATTTTAAATTCTTAATATACTGCGCATGAAAAAAAAAAAGAATATGGCAAAAGAAAATCCAGAATCTATGCACTAAAATTTGCAACAGTTCATAACTTATTTTCCATCTATTTAAAAAATCTATTTTAAAGAATCTGTTTCAAAGTAAGAACTTTGGAAGTTTGTGGAGTTGGCTCATCCGCATCCTCATCCTCCAAATCGAATTCCGACTCTTTCTCGATGTATTTTACATTCTCTTCAAGTTCAGTGAATTCAGGTGCAAAGGCGCTCCAATTTTCAACATGAGCCTAGAAATTCTGATATTTTCCTTCTAAAAATTCAATAAGCGTCAAAAGATCAGATAGAAAGCAGAAAAAAGACTAACCTGAGTCCATACAGAAACAAGACCGTTAGCAATTGAAAGTATGATGGGGCGTGTCGGATGCCACTGCACGTCATGTAAGGTCTCACCCTAAAAATATAGAAAAATAGAAGTTTAATACTAAATAGGTTATTTCAATATGCATTTCACTGCGTCATCTAATTTCACTCATTCGTTATTCAGAAAATTAAGAAACTCAACCGCAAGCAGTCGTTTCAGTGATATAATGTTCAACTTATATATCTACCTTTGTGCCATGCAACATTTTGATCAAACTTCCAGAATTTCTTTCCCAAATGTACAACGAATGTGCCTTAGTACTGGCGCCACAAATATAATCACCATCATTCGATACACATATTGCTTTCCAAGAAGCATAAAAATATTTCCAGTCAAATTTTTAAAATAAAGATTTCAGAATTCCAAACTCTATTTGTCAGAAATTAATCCAATGCTAAACAAGTTAAAACAGTGAGCCTTTACATTCTAACTTTCTCCATACTAGTGATATTTGAATCAAGAAAATACTGGTATTTTGCCACGTTTTAACAAATTATTAGGAATACATTTTTAATAGAAAACGTACTCCCAATAAAACTATTTTTGTATTTTTACTATCCCTATAGTTAATTGTTAGAAAAGTAGTATAGGGAGCTTCCAGAATACAAATAAGGTCATTTAAGGAAGTAAAATAAAACAATCCAAAAAACTTCAAACGCTACATCAAAACAAAAACAAACTTTATTGATTATATCTAAAAGCTTTTGCAATGGTTCAACAATAGTACCATGATGTTTTTTAAGTAAAACATCCAACTTGTAAGTCCTAATAATACGATCCTGAGAATTTGTTAGTAGGAAATCACCACGACGTGTAAGCAGTATATTTTTAATCTGAAAATAGCACAAGAGAAAGTTGCATACATAACAATTTGAATAAGTACTCTTAGCTAATGACAGTAATTATAAGTTTGCAATGATGACGTTCCTTTATCCTCACTGGCACAAATTCCATCAGAAATTTATTCAGAGAGTTTGAATGAATATGAACATCTGACACCCTTTGAATTTAATCAAACCTTATCTTTTCTGACCAAAAAGGTAGGAAAATTACCTGATGTGTAGCATTCTGCTTCACAAATGTGATCAGTTCTAATGTCTGAGCATTGTAAAAAGCAATGCGACCTTTACTACTACCGGTAACGATGTATTTTCCTCTACGATCAAACGTTCCCACGGTAACATCTCCAGATTGATCATCGATTTCTTCAGGAAACTTTATCTAAAGACAAGATAGACAAACTATTCCGTTCTCGCCAATTTATAAATAAATTATACCGTTGTGATTGAATATCATCACCACAGGAAGTTGATCAGCGATTAACATTTTCGTAGACATCCTGAATTGTAGGAGTGATTTCCTTTAAATTTATTAGAAACTTTAATTCTTAACTATCTACAGGTTCTTTTGAAAAGTTGTTTATGTTTAGCTCGAAATCTACACAAAAAAATTTACTTCTGTCTGTAGTTTCGCTTCCAAATCCAAGAGCACTGGATTAGCACCCAAATAAATAACCAATATGCGTTTGTCGTTGCTGCAAAAAGGAACCAAATGAAAGCAGATATGCGAGTTCTTATTTTTCAACATGAATGGTAACAGGACTATGTTGTTCAAGGATATCAAAGACAGAAAATAATACGAAGAATGATGCAGGATAACGAACCGTGGATTGAACATTGCACAAAGAACCGGAGAGCCATAAATTTGTCTTTCAATTCGAGATCCTTCTAGAACATCCCAGATTGCTACGGACCAGTCGTTGCTTGCTGTTAATAACTTACGTCCATCACGGGACCAACTTAATGACGTGACAGAATAACCATGACAAACCCAACTCTAAAGCACTGATCAGATTCTGTGGATTTGAGAAATAATGGCTAGTGATGAATGATAGCAAATATAAAGTATCGTAGAAATAATTATTTTAGAAGGAAATGAAATAGTTAGTATTGCTTCTGGATGATATTACAAGAATCACTTTAACGACTCCTTTGGTTATGAGATCGAAAATGTACACGCGACCATCGATACTGCCAACGGCAATTAGTGAACCCCATCGATTGAATTTACAACAATTTGCAGAACCTTGCTGTGTATCCAACGCACCATCTAACTCTTCCGGGAAACAAACTCCAAAATTCTTATCCAACAATTCAGAGTTCATCATTTTTTCCCTGTAATAAATGATGTTAGATTATAGCTTACAAGCTATATGGAATGCGACGAGTTTAATTTCCCTTCCCACCTTAACAGTCAACCGCTCACTTCCACAGTTTCGTTCTTGACAGTTCTATCAACCTTGTCACCTTAACCACAAACTTTTTTATTCCCAATTTCAGCAATAGCCTTCCAACCATCAACCCAACCACAGATCACAGTTCACCTCCCGACCTTCTGAGACGGATATTTGTACCTTCGTGGCATATTCCGCGTTATATGGACGTCGATCGAAATGGCAACTTCATGGATATTTTTGGATGACGAATTCTGTTTTGGGGTGTCCCTACTATTAACGGAATACGAGTTTGAATTCAGTAGCTTAACGGAATAGGAGTTTGAATTCAGTAACAGATCAGTTCAGTAACAAGCAATCTTGACTGCTACTTTATGTCACCTTTGCTATTGTTGAGTTGGTTAATATTCTGATAACTAACGTCTTCACTACAGTTTATACTAGTATCGAAGATTTATTTTCATTGCTTCCAGTTATGGATTCACTGTGGCAGACTTATCCTGGTATCTTGTTGAGGATTTATCCAAAATTAGTCCAAAGAAGACTATGGTCAGACTCTAATTTGGATATTCTCTGATAATTCTAAAATTTCTATAAAGAATAAATAATAGGAAAACCGAAAAGAGATTGTTACACATTAAATGTTTAAAATATTTCTAATGATTCATCATTCTGCATCAGTTCGTTATTCCTCTGTTATTTCCCATTTTGGAACGAATGAATCCATTATCTAAACCTCAAGTCGTAAATGTACATCTGTTTAAATATAAATTTACGTCTGCTAAGCCAAGCCCACTTTCCACATCTTTAAAAACCTCTCTAATCAGTTGATAAAAAGGAAGTAGCAAATAAATAAATGTTAACATTACTGTGTATGTTGCTATCTTTATCTAACAAATTTCCATTCTAATCTTGTTACAATGTTTCTAAATCTTTACATTTTTTTGACTTTGCAAATTAACGCTTCTGTGAATGTTGAATTCACAACAACTCTCTCTACAATTAATAAAAAATTCCTCACAATTCACACCATATTTGCTGCCACGAGCCAGGATGTCTGCAACGATAATTGAAAGCGCACAACCAACAAAAAAAAAGACTTTGAATCTTCTCGAAGAAGATAAATGACGTCGTTGGATCAAATGCTGATCAGAGAAGAAACGCGGAACAGCACGAAGTCAGAAAAAGAATTGTTGAGAATTGATTCAAATGGTTGGAGTAGTAGGCAAAAACGAAATTTACAGTCTTAGAAGTTGCAGAAAACAACCTGACATAGTTATAGGAGCTGACTATTTTTTCGACTTCATCCACATGAAAACAGGATTCACTCTACTGCACGCAAAGTTGCTCCCATCATAGCAATTATGCTGACGGATTATGTCGTCGTAACACCTTCGCAACGAAGATATTCCAAGATAATCGTGCTCCAGATATAGACCAATTTTGGAAGTTGGACTGTATTAGCTTCAAGATCGACCTGATGATACAACATGATGAACAAGCACTAGAACAATTCAAGAAGAGTATCACTAAACAAAATGGGAGATATGAAGTACGTTGGCCATGGAAACCATGCAAAGATAAACTGAGAGATAATTACGGATTATGCGTTAATCGTTTATGAATACTGATAAAGCGACTTCAGTCTCATAAAAAGGAATTGCAAGGATATGATAAAATATTGCAAAGACCAACTATAATTGTTCTGGCATAATCGAAGTATAATCACAAATGAATCAAGATGGAATCATTCATTACCTTCCACATCATGATGTTCGAACCCGGGTAAGACTACAACAAGCTAAGAATTGTGTACGATGCTTGAGCACACATAAAGGGAATGAAAAGTTTGAATGAAGTATTATATGGAAGATCAATTAACCTCTCAGATCTTGTAGGTATTACGTTTTCGAATGATGAAATGTGCTAACAAAAAGAACTGCAGTCGGTCAGTAAGCATTTCTGGAAAAGCTATCAAAAGAGACGAAGTAGAAACTTGAAAACTTGATTCCTAACTACTTCGTTAGGAGTCAATTTTTTAGTAGGGAAAAGGAGTCAACAACTAAGCCAAACCAAATCCTCTGCTTTAGCTGTAGTCAAGCAGATTAAATAAATAGTCACAAGTTGACCATAAAAATGATTTCTAAATATATATATAAGACTCACTAAATTGCAAAGATTCTCATAATACTTCATTACGTTACAGCAAATCAGGATGATGTGCTGGATCTATCGAAGGAAAAATGGATTCAACAACTATAACTAATTCAATAATTGAACGAAAGGATAAAACGAGTTACAAGTTATGCAAATATTATTCGTGTGCAAATTAAAATAATCAATTCGAAGATGCCAGAAACAGAAGAAACCTTTACATTGTTCGATATCGGTTCGCAAATATCTTTTATATTCAAGAATGTAACAAACGGATTAAATCTATAAGAAACAAAAGGATTAAATATTGCCTCGTTTGGTAATAAGATATCGATTTTTTGTCTTACAACCCAAAAGCAATTGCAATAAGGATTAAAAGATACAAAAAAATAGTAATTGATGAACAAACTATTGAGTAGTTAAATTAAACGGTTATAATTTATTATCTATGTCGGTCAATTAAATGCTATAAAAAGCTACTGCAGACAGCTTGTTATCTTGTTTGAAGCTAATCATTCAAACTCATCTAGCTTATCTAACTAGAAACAGCTTAAATCTAGTTTCCTGAAAAACTTGAGCGATATGCAAATAAAATGTGCAGTTCTGATGCAGTAACGGTAGAAACCAAATTAATATATTTGGTTAATGTGATTAGCATTCCAGTCGTAAATCAGTTCTGGAAACAAGAATTCATAGGCATTCAGGAATAATCTAATATCCATGATGATGAAAAGACATTAGAACAGTTTGAAAGAAGTGTCACTAGAAAAAAAGAGATATCAAATCTGCTGACCATGAAAAGAATCAAAAGTTTTATTAATTATGGTTTATGTTTTTTTTAAACTCTAGTCAAACGACTTCAGATGAACATAAGTATTTATGATGAACGTTTGATTTGCTTCAGCGATATGAAATGATTAGAAGTCAATGACGTTCTAGTATAACTGAAAAAGTGTGGTTCGATATGGATTATTTATTATTTTCATATCAAGCAAGACTTTGATAAAGTTATAACTCAAAACAAAATTTCGATAAGCTAAGAATTGTTCTATTAAAATATAAAACATTATCGCTTCAAAAAAGAAGTAATATTATCTTTCTTTCCAGAAAAGAAGTAATATTATCTTCCAGCTACAATTAATTATCACCTAAAAATTTATGTAACAAAATTGCTTTAGAAATTACAAACTTGAATTATTTTTGAATTAGGACAATTTTTTTGTAGCCTCTGAATACAACCCATTGAGTCTTTTAACAACTCAACATATTCTTTCAAAACTTTTGGAAGAAAAACAATTCATAAAATTGAAATAAGTGAAAATGGCAAAGAAATATATGTAAATGTTTCTTTACATAAATGCCGAGAAATGTTGCAAAACTACTTCGATCCTTAACAAACTTCACAAAATGAGGTATATTCAACAACCCTATGAGTTAAATTATGGAATTTAAGCAGCAAAAGTTTTCGCTAAGTCTCAAATTGTCCCAATTAAGGGTTCCATTAGATTAACTATACTTGCTGTAGTAGGCAATTTTTTAACAAAGCAATTAAATTTACACACCAATAACTTTATAGTCGGACTCAAAATGTGCACTAAATTGAATATTTTGTATCCAATTAAATTCATACAGAATCGAGTAAAAGATACACAAAAAGCGAAACTTTCATTTTTTCCAAGTGAACACAATCCAGCTGATGTGACAGCAGAAGAACTTTCTTCTATAAAACTTGGAAATTATAATGGATAGTATTCTATGGTTAAAAGAAAAAGAAATTAACTAAGCACAACGAAATTAAAAAAATCCGTGAAAAAATTAACAATGAAGAAAATTCAAAAATTGAGTGAGTAATGTTTGAGAAATCAATGCAGAAAGTCGACGAACAAGAACTTATCGCTGCACAAATTAGGAATGCAACAAAACAACAAATTCAAGCAAAATATTTGTCGCTATACTGCTACCCCTAAGAATTTTAATTTCTTTCAGTCGGAGATGTCATAACCGAAATATTTTATAATATAAACATGTCGAAATAATCAAAGTAAATTCATAATATTTCTGTTTACTTTATCAAACAAAAAAAAATTAAGTATTTCCATATCTAAAATAATGAATCATTTACCAAGTGTCTTCTAATCTAATAACTTACAATGTAAAAAAGACCCTTTAATGCAATAACAGGGCTTATGTTCAACGATTAAAATGTTTCGAAGTAATTATATAAAAGACTAGAATAGCACAACTCTCTTTATTTACTTAAATTACTCGATTAAGAGTGCACTTCGATTTGGTTTAACTCTGTTCCATCATTAATACTCCATCAAATCCTCAACAGCGACAGTCTCAACCAAATTACTACCAAATTTTCCCTAATGAACAATAAAGAAGAAAAACATAGCGATCGATCGACTCTATTCGCATCTGTTATATTCTCTGATAATTGTTACGTCAATCAGTAAAAGACCAACTACTTATATCAGTCATCAAAAGAAAAAAAAAACTGTAACACATTATGTACCCATTTGTCCTAAGAATAGTTTGTCTGAGATGTGCAAAAACAATAAGTAAGAAATATGTATCCAATCCAAGCTGTGTAGGTAACAGAGCTATATAGAACTCATGCCATGATTTCTTTCTTTTTTTTTAAAAAAAGAATTTCTTTGTTATTTTTCGAAATGCTATTTAAATCTTAGATCAAATTTTGATTAGCTTTGGGAATTTTCGGAGCAAAATTATTTCGCCGACATTGATTTAGTCTAATTTATCTACTAGAATTTACACTTAACGAATCTGTTTGTTCAGTCAATTCTTTATCTCGTATGCATCATCCTATTGCAGATTCCATTCCTTTCGGCTTTTTTGTTAAATGCACAACTATTATAGCTGGGCACCAGTCTGTGTGACGCATCCTTGGACGTACATATAAATCCAATTGTCATTCATTCATTCGATTCCATTTATTTTTTTTAA